CGGCCCAGCTGCTCCCAGGTGCTACTCAGCAGAGTCCTCCGCCCACCTCCCGGCCGCCTCCGTGGCTCCTGCCCCCGCCCCGGCGCTGCTGCAGGGGGCGCTGTGGGACAGTGGCCCCAGTGGCCTCCGATTTTGGTCTTAGTTTTTCTATTTCCGGCCGCCCCTTTTTTTAATTTTTTTTTTTGCTGGCGGTGAGACGGGGCGGGGAGAAGCGCTGCTCACCCAGCACCCCCAGGTAAACACACACACACTCTCGACTGTTGCAGACACCCCTGCACCTGTCCCTGGCTGACCACCAGCCTCGGACCCTGAACTCCAGTTGCCTACAATTTCAGTCGCTGACTTGATTCTCTTTTATATTCTTTCTTGGTTTTCCTTTGCAACCCCCAGACCCCAGGCTCGGGAGAGGCCTGGTGGCGGAGGAACACACCACCTGGGCGGGAGTTGGAGGAGGGCTGGGAGGGCTGGAAACTTCGTTTTGTAGAGAACTATTTTTGTTTGTAATAACCGTCCCCTGTGAGAAGGGACAGGAGCGACGCTGGTCACCACGGGTGGTCATCCTATATAATAAAAGCCTAATATGCTAAGTGTCTGACCCTTCCATCGACCGGTTGCTATGACACACACTGACCACCAGGGGGCAGGTGCTCCAACTGGTAGGTTGGCTTGCTGCTGGGGTCTGGCTGAGTGGGACTGGGCGTGACAGGCCAGACACACCCTGGAGCCCTCCCGCAGTCCCTCCCCAGCACCGATCATGTGCTAGTGGTGTCCCTTGGCCTGGCCTGCGCCCTCTCAGATTCCGGGACCCCTCAGGGGATGTTGGAGAGCCGGTTTCAGCCCGATCCCCACAGGCCCGTCCGAGGGACCCCGCCAGTGCACGAATCCAGGCAGCGGCCTCTAGCTGGTGTACAATTAGACAGAACAAAGGATCTCCGCACTGCTGCCTCCAGGACCCGTTTTGTTTTTTCTGTGTTCATCTGGGATTTAAAGGGGAGCTCACAAAATAGCCTCAAAGAAACTCCCCCACTTCCAGGGCACATCCCCCAGGACCTTCTGTGAAGGAGACCGGCAGCTGCCCTCCGCAGGTGTGGCCAGCAGAGCTTTCACCGCTGGGCCAGGCCCGGCCCTGACTGTGACCCGCATGTTCCCCAAACTTGGAGGCTGCCATCCCCCTCCCACTAAAAGCACGACAAAGCCAGCTTATTGCACTTCGCTCAGCTGCCCGCAGCGTCCCCGCACATGCTGCTGGTGGCCTGAGAAGGCCCAGGGCAGTGCCGGCCCGCGTCCTAACAGAGTGGGACTTCCGGGCTCCAGGTCAGGAGTCAGGTGGCCGCGCGCTCAGACCCGCCAGGCCCGAGCCTCAGGCCCCGTGTCTGCAGCTGCTGCCTCCTCCCAGAGCCCACTTGGGTGCACACAGAATCTCGGGTGGGCACAGGAGGGATGGCCAAGGGGACGGGGGCAGTGCAGGGGGTGGGAGAGGAAGCTCTGAAGGACGAGGCCCATCAGCGGAGGCCCCTGGCTAGGGAGGGCGCCCTGTGTTTCCAGCGCTTGGGGGCTGCACCCAGATTTCCCTCCCACCTACGTACTCTCAGCCTGGGGTCCCCCAGGGCTGCCGATCTGGGTCAGGCTCCTCGGTGCTCCTACAGCCCCTGCCTCACCTGCTGGTGCCCGTGGCAGCTGGCAGGGCTGCTTCCTCAGCCCCCAAGGCCACGTGAAGACCAAGTTTAACCAACCTGGCCTTGAGAGGGGCGAGCTTACAGCTCAGTGAAGGAGAAATGGCCAGCGCGTCTCCAGGCCAAATGCCCTCCCCAGCACCAGCTTGCAGGGGTCAGGCCCAGCCCCGAGAGGAAGCACCTCCTGTCAGGACCCTGTGGCTTCCCCTCCTTCCTGTTGACGGAGCCCAGGCAGCCGGCTGAAATGAAACACGCTGGGCGCCCTGTGCACGGCAGGGGCACGGCCACAGTCCTGGCTTTCACATACAAAGGCAGGCCTGGCGGGGCAGGCTCAGCTGGTTGGAGCCTGTCCCCTCACACCAACATGGTGGGTTCCATCCCGACAGGGCACATACAAGAATCCACCAATGGCCCTGGCCGGTTTTGCTCAGTGGATAGTGTCAGCCTGCGGAATAAAGGGTCCCGGGTTCGATTCCAGTCAAGGGCACAAGCCCGGGTTACCGGCTCCAACCCCAGTAGGGGGAGTGTAGGAGGCAGCCAATCAATGATTCTCTCTCATCATTAATGTTTCTCTCTCTCTCCCTCTTCCTCTCTGAAATCAATTAAAAATACATTAAAAAATCAAAACATATTTAAAATACAAAAAGAACCCACCAATAAATGCATAAGTGGAATAACAAATAGATGTTACGCTCTCTCCTCCCCACCCCCCTTCCTCTCTAAAACCAATCAGGAAATACATGATTTTTTAAAATGCAAAGAAATCACAATAATTCACCCCACACCCCACACCATAGTCCTGGGTCTGGTTCCCTCGCTAGAGGCAGAACTGAGGGGCTGGGCTCGTGGATGGCCCTCCACTGGGCTCTGGAGCAGAAGTCACAGGTTGAGGCAAGGGGGCAGCCTCCTGTCAGCCAGCGCTTGGCCTCCTGTTGGTGTGGGGGTACAGGGTACACCCCTGGGAGAGGTGTGTGAGCTGTTAACACCCAGCACAGCAGTGGGGCGGGGCTCTCTGGGCCAAAACCAACAGCTTCTACTGCCCCCCCCCACACACACACCCCTTTGTGTCACTCTGGGTGTTCAGGAGTCTCCCGCGGGGTCTGTGTCCGCCCGCCGCTCCCAGCCAGGCCAGCGCTGTCAGCCTCCCTCCGACCAGGCAGCCCGCCCCCAGCTGGCTCAGCCCTGACCTCAGGCGGGAGGAGGGCCGGGCCGTTCGGAAAACACATCTTCCAGAGCTGAGAGGAGGAACACCAAGGTCACGGCCGGCCCGTGGACGGTGCCCTTGTCCCCGAGCTGCTCTGCCTCTGGTTCTGAGGCAGGGGAGGCCCCGTTTCACGGCGTGGAAAACACAGCTACTGCGGCTGCGCGGCACGGGAGCAGCGAGCCTCCACCTTCGCCCAGGACAGCGCTCTCCGCCTCGGCGCCACGGACACGGACGGGCTGCCCACGGGGAGGGGCCTGTCCGGTGCCTCTAGGACAGCGGGCGGCAAACTCATTAGTCAACAGAGCCAAGTATCAACAGCACTTCCTCAAAACAGACTCGCCCAGGCCGAAAACCGACTTCTGCGCATGGGCCACGACGTTTCAGTCGCACTGTACGTGCGCCCGCATGTGGTGTTTTGTGGAAGAGCCACACTCCAGGGGCCAAAGAGCCGCATGTGGCTCTAGGATGTTTGCAGCATCCCTGGCCTCGAGCCACTGGCTGCCAGCAGTTCCTCCTCCCCATTTGATAACCAAAAGGAGTTGCAAACTGGGAGCAAACTTGCCCCAGGTTGAGAACCACTGAGCTAGGCAGACGGAGTATCATACCCATTTCACAGAAGGTGAAGTGGAGGCTAGGAGGGGACTGAACTCCCTGAAGTCCCTCTTGCTAAGAAGCAGGGGCAGGAGTCGACTCAGG